GATATGGGATGTGTGGATATGTTCCGTACAACCAACTGCAGAGTTGTATTCCCTACAAGCACAATTAACTTTTTGCAAGATTCGATAACATGATGTCAAGAATCCATGGATAAAAGCATGAAAAGGGGAGATATTTGCGAGCGAATAGTCGATAGATCGCGACGAGATGATATTCGCTCACCCTCGTTGACTCCTCAATTCAAGTTCAAGATATCAAGTGATGTGCGACGAATGAAAACCTCCTCCCCTCTCATGTAGATCTTCCTGTCTTTCCCAGTCTCCTCCCAATCCGGGTGGGGAAATCCCATTAAAGTTAAATGAACCCTGTCTCATTCGCTTGATTTCGCTACTCTCAGACAAATAAGGCGAATTGAGTGGGGTGCAATGCTTGTGAATCGACGGCTAGATCAGACTCCCTGGCACATTTCTCAAAAGAGACATTTTTCGTCTTTAGGACATTTCATTTTGGCGAAGGAGTCGAAATCTTGAGTTACATCGTTCCATTCGACGAAACAAAATAAACTCAATATCCCTCTGCACATACATGCTTTTAATTTATTTAACCATGCACTCCTCGGATGATCGACGAGAGGTACATTTTGTTGTTGCCTGGATGCAATAGTACCGAGACTGATCGATTGATTGATCGATTGAAATTGATTTAACACATGGTGACAGGAATAGATATGGACTTTTACCGGTTGAATATGATGGTGACAATAATCCCATATCAGTGCCCAGGACAGGATTGAGGGGTTGTAGGATCAATGTTTTGAACTAAATATTGAAAATCACCTAGACATGTACTAATCCAAACCTCTCGCAACCGCCGACACCACCCGAATACAAAAACGCGTATCTGTTAATGTATTCGTGCTAGCATAGCATTACCAATTGTGTCGATCAAACCCAATGATAAAAAGGAAAGAGAGAACTTTGTCCCTTCCCCCCCCCCCCCCGGAGCCCTCTTGATGAGTAAAATGGTCTGTGGCTAGGTTGGTCAGGGGTCTACAGCAGATGATTGGCCCAAGTACGAAGGATTAACGAAAACGCACGCCCAGGAGTGGCTACTTTGCATTCTCTACAGTCAACTCGGCCACACATATTCACACATTCTCGTCTCATGTGCCCCAAATTCCCCACCGAAAGTCTTCTATATGTTGCACAGCCTCGAGAGCACAGCCATCTATGATCTATCTCGTCTCTTCACATCGTCATAATTGCTCGATATGGTAACGAACCCAAATAGAAGTCTTGAAACGTAGATGAAGTTTCTCAGCACTATGACGGATACCCCATTAGTCATTATCAGACCTCGTATACTGATCGTTTCGTTGATGATAGCCTTTAATAGCATCACACATTCTATCACGTACCAGGTCATTGTAGATATCATATGCACGAGCCACATGCCCCTGTCCAACAGTTGTCAACAGACCAAAAGTTCGTCCGTACTCTACGCACTACGGAAACGGACGGGACGGCAAGACCCATTTCACGAGGCAGATTTCCATCATAGTCATCTTTCCTGTCCGTTCATCTCCTTTCTCAACATGAATCATTGCTCTCTATACAACACACAACGTCCGCCCCTGATTTCAAATCATGCATGAGATCTCCACAGTATGTTTCTTTGGGTCGTGTCACGGAAGGATTGAACCCATCTGACCAAATGTGTGGATATTATATTGATTGACCTAGCCTTGAGATAATGTCCTTTTTCGTGTGTATGTGTATCCTTGATTTCGTGAAGGCATAGTCGTCGCTATCGAAGGATCAAATCCTTCTAGAAGCCCTTTAAGTCACCCAAAACACCTCTTCTACATACACATGGTTTTCATCAGAAGCTTCATTCCCTCAAACAGAGCATAATACTTTGGTTTCACGTTCTTCTGCAACTCCTCGGAATTCAGCCCTATGAACCCCTTTTCTTCGAGTTTGATCACCAGTGATTGGCTACAAATCCTGGTAATAGTAATCCTCGCCGTCTTGGCACTGGCTGCTCGAAATCATGGTCGGGTCCTAACGATGGAATTGGCTGGTAAATTTAAATCTCAAACGCAAACCCGTCGAAGTTGCTATTATCAGAACATCTTGCGAATGTTCTCCGTATGGTACCCCTTCATACAATGAGGGCGTCTAATATTTAAAACACATCGTGAAGGTGTGCTATGGCTTATTTGAAAGACATATTCCCGTACCGAAGCAATGCCCTCATGGAGAGGAAGAAGTTGATATTACCTACCGGCTCCATGTTGTTCCTCCGGCATTCGAGAATGCAGATATTTTTTTGTGGCATTTTTCTGGTGCCTCCATTACTCAGACGTAAGGGAGGTGGTGCAAATAATCCACTTCATGATCTGGTCAGCAAGAAGAAACATGCAAGTATATTAGACCCATAGAAATTTGTTGTCAGATGTTTCCAGTAAACATCATGGTTTTGTTGCACAGCCTCACAGCCCGGTGCATTGTAGCTAGCTATCATTCATAACCTTTGCCTAGCTTTGAACTTTGTAGCCCTGGAAAGGGCATCTCTGCTATAGGGCTGAGTAATTGACCAATTGATCGTCACGCAAGCTCTCGGTCATCACCGTCATTGGTAATCTCTCCACCGCTAGTTGTAGATTTTCGTACTGTAGCCAATCGCGCTCTTCCTGTCGTCACAGTGACGCTTGACATTTTGGAAGCGATAGTTGGTGCATATTTCAGTACAGACACAGTGCAGAAATTTCCGTCGATGTGGGTGTGGTTGATCCAAAAAATCATAACCAACGGTTCTACGCAATTGAGATTTATTAATGTAACTTCAGTCTGCAGTGAGCTGCTACCGAAGAGCAACGTTTCAATCGAAAATAGTTCCTCAGCTTCCATGTGATGGTTGGCGTCGCCCACTTTGTCAATATCTACCTTAGTTGTCCATCCATTGTGTTTATCATTGCAACGACGATGACCTTATTTGCCTCCCAAACATCTTAATCATTGGAGGCAAAATAACCTCGGGACAAACGGTATAGTGAAAGTTGTCATATTTTTGAACGGTGTTTCCTTTGGATATTAATTAGATTATGCAAACAATATTGAATTTATGCTGCCAACGAAGACGAGCAGGAGAGCCTGTGCCAACGGAAAATTATCATTGCGATAATGACTTCTTGGAAGAGCATGTTGTTTGGGCGACGAGATGAGACACCAAAGAGCAAGCCTTCAAGGTTCGTCCGAAACTTTTACGATACCGAAGAAACTATGGAGAGACTTTTCGACTCTTCGACAGCGGGGGGAAACATCCCAACCACATCTATTCGCTAAGTTCTACCACCATCGCAAGGTTGTCCTGATCGATAAATTTTTGAATGAGGGGTTAATGTACCACATCCGAATAGTGTATTGAACTAACTATGATGAGTTGATCTCAAAGCAATTTGCTTTTTGTGAAGAGATTGCCAAGATGTGTGAAGATGTGTGGTTGCACTAATTTGGTATGGAAAAATATCCTGGGTTACGGGTAAGTTTCTCAGTCTCTTGTCCAATAGGATAAATTGAAGTTGATACAAGGCTAGTAACCCTCTTGCAGGCAGATGCTTAAGCTCCAAAGTTGACTTCCGCTTGCAGTACCGTGTCCTAGTTCCCATGAACTGGGTCTAAAATGAAATAGTCCAGTTGGGATCTCATCCCTCCTAGATATCAACGGGTAGCATTTTCAAGATTCTTTTAGGTCATGTTGTTACCAAGTGAACTGGTAAAGTGATTACCTCGCGTGGGTTCTGCCCCGGTTGGGCTCTCTGACCCTGTCAGATTTTGAAGATCTTCATACTATACCCCTTGCTATACCTAGTCTCATATAGATATACAGATGCAAGAACGCTTAGGGTGGGTATTTTTGGACGTGATCATGAGGCTCTGCTTGCCAATCAAATAAGACTCAGATCGTAAGGGTACCCAATCAACTTTCCATAATATCGCTTCCCCTGTGCCATTCACACTTAACTTTTACTAGCATTTTAGTCAAAGCGGGATTTCCTTTCATCAATATCCCAGTTGAATGATCTGTGCTACCCACTTCCTCGGGCTCAACAAGTAGACTTGATAGACACTTTGATTTGCAACTAAAAGCGGAGTAGCTATCTGAAAATAGAATGGTCTTCGAATGTCGTTATCCGTCTCGCATAGAGGGCTTTCCAAACCATACCCATGGTTCGAAAAAGCTACGACCTTCCTGGTGTGAATTAATTCGTTATCCGCAAGAGCCACGTGAAAAGTGCACAACAGTACGACCTTCTTTTTTGTGACCCCCGATGCATCTTGATGCACTCAATCTTGGGAATCTCCGCCAAGTCGCCGACTTGAAGATCAGTGAAATTCAGGAACAACTATTGATCCGATTTGGAATTGGATCAAACCTGTTACCAGTCGATATCACGATAATTCAAGGTACATACGTAGCATACTTTCAAAGGTTTCGGACACTCACACTTCCTCCAAGGCTCTTAGGTTCCAGATTCCTACATCTATCTACCGACGGAAACCGGAGTCCGTGGCCTTCGGTTACCTGTAACGGTACCCCATGAATGAATATAGTACTTTAGCATCTCTAGAAATGTCTTAGCATCTTAGCAATGAAACTAGATAGGCCGGGGCGGAATCCTAGGTCACCCCAAAAGTTTAATCAAAAATGCTCGATAATAATGGATGTTCACCCCAATGCTTTCAGTATGCTCGAACAGGAAATAATTCGCTTAAATCTTCTTGATTGTGTTTGGCGTGTATACCCTCTCCCCCGGGGTGCCATTCCGTTGTTGGATCGACTTCAAAAACGTGGCATGCTTGCTCACCAACAAGGAAGCTCCCCATTGCCCATTGGATGTCATTCGAAAGGCAGCAAAGCCTGGTACATTTCAAGGCGCCATAGAGTTGCAGTCTGTACCATGGAAGGAAGTTAATTGTCCCGAAAAGTCGTATGAGTAGGGTTACAGAGAGGAGGAGTGAGTTCATGGGTATCATGATTATGGTTGAAAGAGTTCCAACTTGGCAATATCAGTGTGTGTGATGGTAATAGTCATGGTTATGAGAATAGTCTTGCCATGGTCAGAAGTTTGTGGTGTGTTAAGGCTTGAGGATTTCCTTTCTCCAGTCGCGAATCGAAATCGAATATGCAGAATATGCAACGGCAGGTCATCTGTAACTATAAATGGCAACATTTTTGTGTTGTGGCTCTCTTTCGTGCAACTTCAACAGTCTTAAAATCTAGGCTCCAGCATTTTTATCACTCCTACCAGCATGAAATGATCAAATCTGTTCAATCTTGCAAGTCCTTTGAATGCATTGATAATTTGATACGCTTCAACCATCCATTGCTTTGATCGTAAGTTGCGTTTTCCCCTGCAGAAGTTTATTCCATGGCTTGATTCTTAGAAGATCCGTCGCATTGCCGTTTTTTGCTTTTATCATCATTCATTTTAACCTGGGTACTGATCGGCTGGATCGATACAAGTATGAACAGGGAACCGAACTAGAGGCGTCACATTCTGTATTTTTCGGTACGAAAAAGAAAGAAATGAAACTTCGAGAAGAGGATCCGTGAATAAAGAGAATCTCGATTTCATTGGGTGGCAATTACCAAATTGATTCGGTATGGTTTGTGATTTCCTTTTTATTCTTAATTTGGAAAAGGAGAGAAGGGAAGTAGAACGAAGTACGAGAAGGATTTCGATGGAGCATGACGAGAAAGGCACATCCCCCCCTTCCTCCTCAATTCATCAATGCGCATGATTTCCTATTCGCCATCGAGGCTTCAATTATGATCCCTCCTCGCAAGCTTTTGCTGAATCCGTATCCTGTCTTGCCTTGTAGCATGTGTCGAGGTGTCGGCTCTTCGTTGGCGGGGCCGGGTCACCGCAACAGGACACCGAGTGGTAGTCGAGTGGTAGTCGAGTGGTAGTCGTTGTACTACAACCATATTGCAAGAGTCAGGTTTTGGTCGATATCCATTGCCGTATCGCAGGATTTGATATGAATTCACTTATTCGAGTCACTACAACATTGCTGGCGGTGATGTGTATTGTACAAGTCGTCCATTCATCCTCACCGATAGAATTTGAGTGAGTAGACCCAAGAAATCACCCCACATGTGTCAATTAGGGCGTTTTGCTTCAAGGTTTCTTTCTCCCTTTCAATCCTTATCATTGAATCTTGAATCATGAAATGGTAAGATGGTTAAGCATTATACAATTATAATTTTCTAAATCAACAGCTGTGAGAAGTCTTCAAATTTCGGTTTGCCATGTGTGCTATCCCGCCCCTGCAAATGTACTTTTCTTTTACCTATGTCAAATTTCGAGCTTTATTTCCCGACTACTCGGTCTACTTTCTCTATCTTCTAGCTATAGTATATGTGTTCTACCTACGTTTTGCGTATTATTCACCTCAGCAATACAAGAATCATGCCATGGGAGTTGAAGGTACCTAGGTAACTATCCATGTGGTATGCATCGCCATGGGATCTAAAGAGTGTGACGAGACCGCCTTTTCACTTTGCATGATTCTCTCATGAAATGTCAGCACATATAATATACTAGAATGTTAGTGGTGTTCTCAACAAATGATCGATTTTTTTGGATTTTAATCTTTAGTTCTTTACCCAAGTATTATTCCGAATGTAGATTTCTTTTGCAAGGCAATATCCCTATATTATATGATTGATATGACTATACTCTAGAGGCATTTTTATTCGTTCATCGCATCGTATCTGCTCATGCCTTTTGAACTAACGGTTAGTTCATAAATTCCTCTCTAATTTGGTCTTGTTCATCATCTTCAAGGCCACATCCCACATGATATTGAACCACCTCGCAATTTCGAAAAGACCATGTAGATCACTCATATTAGGATCTGGGAAAAGTAATATCCCACAGCTAACGGTCAGACTATGCTGCCAGCCATAACCAGACTCCCGTCCGCCTTCTTCTTTACCCCTGACCCCTTCACGCCTTACTTGGTCTATCTTAATTCCTAAATCCCTTAAACCTTCATCCCGTCATTTACTAGAGGAAATTTGCCGCGTCAACAGCTCTTTGGCTCGGTCGACGGGCGTTCTGTTCCTCGTCATTTATTTTTCTCCGTCTCCGGATGATTCAAAAATCCTGGACCCCTTCGAACAGAAGGCGAATTTGTGAAGCTCCAACCGTTCGATCGAGATTATCCGCGGGAAGAAATCGAAAACACTCCTACCTAGCTAGTTTTAGAAGGAGCTTTTGTTCCGTGTCATAAATGTTGATAATTGAGGGCAAGTGTTCACACATTCTGTCCTTCATAGAAAGAAATATATGGTTAATTTCGCGTCTCAATCGTTGACAGAGGATCAACCGGTTACTATTCAATCTATTGTGAAGTTGTTGTTGCACTCTTTGCGCTTAATTTGAGTGATAATTTGAGTAGTAGGGTGGCGGAACTGCTCGATGGTTCGTCTAGTGAAGCGGTGATGATGAAATTGCTATACCAGTACTTGTTCGGAGGATTCCTATGGGGTATGGAATACAACCTTATGACATTGAATTTGAATACAACTTCACGTCTCCACGCCACCCTTACTTTCGATTCATCCGATCGTTTACTCCCCGTCCCTCACGCCTATTCCGTATTGCTTCTCAACACCAGAAGTTCTTACTTCGTGTTCGTTTTAGAAAATTATTATGGCACCTGGAAATAAATCATTTAATTATTTCGTTGTCGTATGATTGTTTCTCGTTACTGTATGAAACAAAGGATGTGCTATCAAGGGGGTGAGATATGAAATCAAAGAGTCGCCGGGAAATATAACCAAGGTCCAATTATAAAATCACAAGTGCTCCGTATAGCCTTTCATGTACGAATCATAGTCAAGAATATGTAGTAATGTAATTCCATTGAACCATTACTTCGACGGGAATATACCCGTGAATAAATACCTGCGATTTCCCAATTATTCTCCAATTTTACATTTACATCATCCAACTCCAGGACCTGCAAACATCCAAAAGCAAAAAAACCCTGATATTATATCAAATCAAAAACACACTAAATACACAAAGGCCATTACAAACTACCAAAATCCACAGCTTCATCTCTCCATCCTTTCCGACCTCATAACACCTTCGACTAAATTATGACTTTGTCCGCCAATTCTCGAACCACACTCCGGACACCTAGCCTCTTCCATTGGCATTCCGCATTCACCTATCGTAAACTATGATCTGTTAGCCAAATCACCCTCTTCGATTTTTCAAGCTATAGAAACACTCACCGGGTGTCCCTTTTTACATTCATACCAATGACCACTATGTGTGGCAATTCCTCCCCTCCCAGAAACCATGGCGTTCTTGACAGCATCCAGCTCTTCTTTAGTGACATCTTCATACCACTCTCTACCTATATGCTTGATTGAATTCTCAACAGCAATCAGTAGCGAGTCCGCATTTTGGAATCCTTCTCCACAAAGTCCTTTTGCTTCGTCCAATAGACTTTTAGCCTGTTCTATCTGAGGAGGAAATTTGTTCCCCTCCACTTCATGATTAGCCGCAGAGCGTGTATACAAATCAAATAGACGAGCTATCTTCGCAAAATAGAGTATACCCTCGACAGCTAGTCTTGGTAGACTTTCATCACGACATGACTTGATGTGTGAGAGACAAGATTTAAAAAAGGGCTTCGCAAGTTGGTCTGGAGGCCCGCCAGGTATTTTGATGGAGGAATCACATGAACGAAGCTTTTGAGCTATCGGAAAGCTATCGGCTAGGGTGAGGTATCTGATATTTCTCTCGTCAGTCTGAATCGAACAAATCAGCTGATCATGTTTCGAAGAATATAAGTACTCACTGGACCTTAAGCATCGCACCAGTCCCTGCGAAAGCAATTCTTCGGTCTCTCGGGGATGTTCTGACCCCCTCCGTAATTGAGAGGCCTCCCAACTTATTCTCAAGCGGTTGCTGTCTGATTGAGGTTACTATAGCATTATGAAGTTTCGTAGCAGGTTGATGCTTATCCTTGAACCTCTCGCAGAATCTCATCACAGCTTTTTCTAATTGTTTCGACTTTTTATCTCGCTTCTCAAGCAATTTAGATACCTTGATTTCTCCCCATGTACCTTCTACCGCCTGGATCAATCCAGGTGCGGAATTCTCAAATTCCACCTCCAAATGAAGGACCTTTCTTTCTAATTCTCGAAGTTCGACTTGGCCACTCACGAGAAATCGTTTGGACATTTCATCGATGACAGCCCGATTGATCACTCGGTTGTATCGTGGGGTCGCGTATTGTCGAAGCGGACATTGACAATCCGGACACTGGGGAACAGATGATGCTAGTGAGGTGGTTTCCTTGATTGCCGTGAAGTCTCCATGGATATTCTGTTCATAAACTTCAGACATACCGACTACCCCATCGAGTGATTCGGCTGTGAAGAAGTGACCACAAGCAAGCGCAATTATCGGAGTGTCCTCGAGATCAATCTCTTTGTATAATTTCAACTCAAGAAGGTCGACTCGCTGATCTTGTTTTGTGGAGCATATTTGACAATAGTCGTGTGGGCATAATTCGCCACAAATCCCGGGACATTGGTGACCGCAAGAAAGCTGTAGTAAACAACGTTTGTTGCACGGCAATCTATCGCATGGGCCAGCACATCTATTTGCATGTGTTATTAGCTTTATGATAGGGAAGAAGTCTTAGAACAAAGTGAGGTTCAAAATGAAATTCCCGATCTTCGACTTAGTACTAAAAATTTGCGGTAACTTACGGCATCTTGCAAGTACCTTCGTGCTTGCATGACCATGTACATAGTTCTATGCATGGTGCGCAAGCTTCGTAACACTTCAATGTACATTTAGAGTGTGGGCATTGAACCTATCAATTCAGAAGTCAGGTACTGAGGTCCTATTTCGAAACAATTACACCACACAATACATACCTCACAGCTGGATGAACACAATCCACAGTCTCCTCCTGAATGACAGGCTCGCTGGCAATTATGATTGCAGGTTCCGAGGGCACGGCCACATGGCTTTTTGCATGGTCGATGCTCTGTAAGTATCATTTCTCCATCCTTTTTATTGCATTGGCCACAAGTCGAACCGCATGTGTGCCCACACTGTAATACTTCACCACAGATCATGGGACAGTTAAAGGTCGGTGATTCAACATCCTGAGAACATGTAACAGTAACTTTATGACCGCAGACGGGGACTTCCCTCTCTAACATAACCAAACATGCGATGTTGTTTAAATCTAATGTCAAATAACATGAGACTCTACCTTTAGAATGACCACATGGGAGCTGAATATCGTCCAATCTGACATGACACAATCCACAATCTTCTCCGCAGGTATTCTTTCGGCACGAGTGTCCGCAAGGTTCATGAAGGCGTTCACAGGGCTTTGGACATCTGAAAGCTTGATGCATGCTATCCGAGTGACATCGAGCTGTACATTGATGTCCGCAATCTGGTAAGCGTTTGTTACAAGATAGGTTGCAACCACCTTCAGGGCTCCATCTTGCAAAGTCATCTGGCTCGGAAACTCGGGTTTCGGTTTCGGGATGTCGAGGGCAACAAAGAGCGAATGAGTTACCGACGGAATCGGTTTCCCGTAGCATACCTAAAACGTGCTTCCACATGGCTACGCTAGAATATGTGTCAGAATTACCAATGAGGTACAGACCATGTTGAGCTCGACTTAAAAGGACGTTAATGCGGTTGGTATTTCTGAGAAATCCCACATTCTTCTCCTTGTTGCTTCTGACCAAAGAAACGATGACGACCTTCGCCTCTTCACCTTGGAAATTATCGACGGTGGCGATGCTGAACAAAGATATAATCAGACTCAATTCTTCAACTGTGATAATGAGATGATACATACCGAAGAAGTTCACTCAAGTTCCTCTTCTCGAGAGGCTTTCTGTCTCCAGAT